GCTTTGAGCCTTAAGGATGAAATATGAGAGATGGGTTTGGCTCATTCAAATATGTAACCACAAAGGAAGTATTATGATGAAACTTGGTCTTGGTGACCATCCTCTCAATGATGTGTTGCATGTGATAATGATCTCTTGATAAATTCTCCATAATTACCAAAAAGGAAGTATTTTTTCAAGGTTTTAATAGACATTATTTAGTCATGCTTTATTTTGGATAAAATTATAAGATGGTATATATGATTTGTTTTTACGACCATGAACTTGACTTGGTAGGAAATTAAAGGTGAATGCGGTAAAATGATTTATGAAGGTTAAACATGTATTTTATAATTAAATTGGATGATTTGAGAAAAGCCTAAGTCTATGAATATGGTTTTGAGAAAACCACATAGTCTTACAAGGTCCATTAAGTTTTTGTGAAAATCATTTTAAACTGTCATACTATTATATAATTATTCCTTATGGATGCATATATATATATACCAAGTCAAATTTTTTTATTAAAAAAGAAAAACATCGTGAAGGTATTTATAAAAGTGGGATAAAAACTATCATGCATTTTTTTAAAAAAAAATACCTATATGCTTTGACCCATGTTTCTAGTTATTTAGAATTCTCGATTACCTAAGACTTTAAACCATAGGGAATATTGTAGGAATGCCATCATGCTGGGCTTCCTTAACACATGTTGTGTTGATTATATAACTTGGTTTGTATGAATTTACTACCAAGATGTCTACTGTGGTTGAATCTTTGTAGTTCATGAAGGTTTTTGCATATTGTGAAACCAACTGGTATTGAATTACATATTGCATGAGACTTGATGTGCTACCTCATGATATATACATAAGAATGTTGAGAAGGTATATGTTGTATTTGCAATAATTGAGTGCGAGCTGTTACAGTCCCACGTTTTTTTAGCTGCTTGGATATTCAGATATACATGTGCAAGCTATCTCACAGATGTAGATGATGCAAAGTTTACATCTGGATATGTGTTCATGCTTGGTGGGGGTACAGTTTCTTGGAAATCAAAAAAATAAGATGTGACGAAATTGTCTACCATGAAGGCAGAGTACGTGACATGCTATTTGGTGATCGAGGAGGCCGTATGGATTATAAATTTCTTAATCGACTTGTGCGTTGTGAGGCAGTAAGAATTTTTTACGACAGCACGGTGAAGATATGAGTGTCAAAGGAGCCATGATTCCATAAGAACTCCAAGCATATAAAAACCATGTTTTTATCACCTGAAAAATGTGATGAGATTGAGAAAGATCGAGATCCAGATAAACTAAATATTTCAGTGGGAGCACCTATTAGTATTTGACATGCCAAATGGAACAATAGAGTATAATGTTGTTCACCCATGAAACCCAAATGTTTGGTGCTGGTTGTAGGCTACAAAAGGGAGTAGCTTATTTGAAGAACTCTTTTGAGCCCATGAACATACGACCCCATGCGATGAGGGTACGTGATGGTCTTTTACGACAACTGGTCCATGATTCACGATGCGATGTAAAAGTTGAGCTACGATCATTTTTGGGATGAGATCCGAGAACCAAAGAGAAAAATGTGTTGCCTCTATAAATCCTTTTGTGAAAGGATTGATGGCAAAAGCCATGATTAATGTATTAAGAGAATAGGTAAAAATGCTTGAGAGAGATTGTAATTGGGAGAGAGAGATGGGAATGAGAGAAAGTAAGAAAGACAGAATGTAAGGCCTTCAAAGACCAATTAGGAGATTTTGGGTTTATGTGGCCTTATAAAGGCCTTATAAGTGCTTGTAAAATGAAATGATATAGTGGAACATGAACTCAGTGGGAGTGTGGTCCCTCATAGACCATACTAAGCAAACGATGTTTGCAGATACCGGACTGTGTTTGACGATCTAGCCCAGTCGGTTGGGAAAAACCTATGTTACCTGGGCATAAAGAACAAACCGAGAAGGGTTCTAATGGGTTCGCCCTTGATGAGGTCGGAGAATATGGCCGGATGAGTTAGCCGAGGGACTATGTGACCCTTGTGCGTGATGGTGGCCTACAAAGACGGGGGCTAAAGCTTCATTCATGTGCCATCACACGGTATGCATATCGATAGATCATTCGGGAAAGCCAAAAATCCACCTTTTAGGGTAAAGCGTATGCATGTGCGAGAAAGACCCCTATGCACCATAGGAGCTATGGTCGCATCAGGTCTAGGTGACCTTGACTCGTATCTAGGGGAGGACTTGAAATCCACAGACTAGGATTGCGACCCCTTGGCTCATCGATCGAACTTTAGAGACCTGCTAATGAGCCCCTGCTTGGACTGTGGGTTATGGAAAATACTAGGTCGATCTGATAAAACAAATGTGGTGTTTAGTCTACAGTTGAAGGTGGAATGCCCCATGATTATTGATTCCTAAACCATATGGATCATTTTCCCATCAAATTAATTTAATTATGTTTGTTTTATGATAGAAATTATTTTAAGATTATTATTTGAATTTTTATGAACCGCTAGATATTTTATTTATAATTTTTGGACTTATAAAATTAAAGATATTGATTTTATAATTGTTTAAATATTTAAAGATTCTAAAGTCCTTTTGTTAATTTTAAATATATAAAAGGGGTTCATGTTCCATTGGTGTGGCTTGGCCGAACTTTTCTTTTTCGGTTCGAGATTGAAACTAGACCGTTGATCCCGCGCCATCGGATGGTAGTGACTCGGTGTGGGGTGTAATAAGCCCAGTTGAGGTAATCTCTGGCACTCTTCATTTTGTTTCTTGCAATCTTATCTTTTATTCTCAAGCATAGTGCATAATTGTTTCAATGGCATCAAGTTGTTAGGATCTTGGTTTTATTGTTATGCTGATTTTATTTTGAAATTTATCTTATTATAATAGAGACCATATGTAAGTGATCTTTTGAAAAAGGAAAGGGGTGAACAATATATATATATATATATACATATATTCTTCGGTAAAAGATCACATAGGTCTTTCTTTCAGATGACATTGAAAAGATGACAATAATTAGCAATCGGAGGTGTAGCTAGTTTACAAACTCAGGATAAAACTATGGATCATAATGGCTAGCTAGCCCAATCCAGCCCTCTCGGCCCAGCCATGTATAACCTGGGGCAAGGTCAATGGCTTAGACCAGATTGACCGGCCTTAGCTCGGCCAATTGACTATATAGTATAATATTCTATGTAGACTATACAGATTATATAGACAGACAATATTTTAGACTATATTGGCTTATATTCTCCATTATAGTAGACCATAAATTTGGTTTTAAAAAATAAAATTAGATATGTCATATTTCTTTAGTAGAACAGTTTAATAATCTGCCTTTCTTTCCAATATCTATACACAGATGAATGCTTTTTATCTATCATTTTGTGCAAGAATAATATTTAAAGCTACTTTTACATTGCAAAAAATTGTAATAGAAAAAAGATAGGGCATTGTATACAATAAGATCATTTACCTCTGGTACAAGGATGTCACAGAGTATTCATAGCCATCCGATATGAAATTTGATAACTTGGATGTGTCACAAAATTTGAGAAAATTTCTTTTGACCATTAAGCTTGGTCGATAGAATAAATGCAGCCATCCAATTTCACATCCAATAAACAAGATTAATTGTGACCACTTTGTACCAAGGTATTACTCTATTAAAGTAAAAAGCGTGCGGTTTGTATCGGGCCGCAACCTTAAACAATTCAATTAAAATGCACCTCCAAATTTTATTATAAGATGCTTTTTCCAAATAAATATTCTAAGAATATTCAAAGCAGTGGAAATTATTTGTAATTCTATACTGATTTGCAACGCAACCTTACTATGGAGGGACTAGTGGAAGAGAATATTTATATAGGGAGGGCTATGATTGAATGATTTTATGATGATGATTAGTCACACAAGGACATACATCCTAAGAAATATATTATATATAGAAGGAAAGAGTTTATATGCGGTTGATGCCCTAAAAAATCAAATTAAGGCTTACCTCAAAAATTAACTAGAAGATGTTGTTTCGATGTCAAAAAACCCTCAAATCAATCATCTCGACCTTGAGTTGTATAGACATGAAAAAAAAGAGATTTCAAGTATGGGAAATAATGTATCTTGTAATGTATTATTTGGACCATCCATTTTCAATATTTTCAAGTGCTTATAGATATGCTCGATTTACACTATTTTTTAAACTTTAAATTTTATAATCAGATATGTAAATAAATTTTCAAGCCATCACAAAGATTTTTTCTATTGAAAATTCAGCTTTCAACACTATTTAGAGGTACGCCTTACTTTGATTGTTTAGGGCATCAACCTTATATAAACCATAATCTATTATTATCAAAATAGAAAAAAAAGTAGCAAATTAAGGAAGCAAACCATAAAATTTAGATAGATAACACTATTAAAGTTAGGAAATAATTCATATGGTTAAGAGAACTAGTAAACACCAAAGTTCATTGTAGAATCTGAATTAAACACAGAGAAAATATGATTAACAAATAGCAAGCAATATATATTGTCAAAAATAAATAAAAATAAAACAAATAGCAAACAATATTTTACCACCCTTTCTACTACTCAACTATAGTCAAACGCTGGGACCAAGTGACGTTTGAAACTCATCATTTTCACTGGCACAAGAAAATGATTCGTTAGTTGCGAGTGGGTGGGGAGTCACATATTGTTACTATGTAAATGGTGTGCCTTTCCTTATTTCAATTAAATCGACAATATTCACAAAAAAAATAAGTGCATATCCAATTCACCAAAAACAAAAAAAACAAAAATTCAAAAGGCCTCTCACAATAAACATCACTACAAGTTATAAATTGCTGACCATGATTGAAATGTTAAATAATTGATCTCTTGAGTAGTATTTGATAAATAGAAAAAACACACACACAAAAGTCAACATATAAAAGGAGTTGTTCATTGATTACCAACTCAACTACAACTTCTTCTTGTTGAGTTTAGGTTATCTGCCTCATTAGACATCCCCAATCATCAATTTAACATCTCATCTCATTCAAAGCATAAAAGAAAGAGAAATACAAAACACACACACACAAGCCTCACCATGTTTTCCATTTTGTTGCCCCAACTTTTTCTCGAAAGCCCCCTATCATTCATCAAGAGGTCCATAGAGACGCTCTCCCAAAGACCACTGCTAGTGTATTCTATTCAATGGACAATTGTTCTTACTCTAACTGTGATGGCTGCTTCCTTCCTGCCAGAGCTGGCCTTTGTCTTTGCCATGTCACAGGACTCGGGATTTTTGCGGGCGTGTGAGCATGGAGCCTTTCGAGTGCCGTTAGATGTACCCCACGAGGTTGTGTGCCTTCCGGCTAGTCTTTTTCGCCGGTCGGAGATCGATTTCATGGTTCCTCCTGTGTTTGCTGCAATGGTCGTTATCGGGTCTGCTGGATTTGTCCATGCCATGGTCATATGGAGAGATGCACAATAACAGTTTTCAGGGGAGTGGTTTAGGGGTTGAACCTTCCTGATACAAACCAAACTGAATGTAGAGAGATGCACCATTGAGTAGCTTCCCTAGCATGTAGTCTCACCATGCCATGGCCTATTTGTAGATAGATGCACATGGTAAACGAGCGTGATCATGTGTCATGCATTGTAGATAGCTTGTGCCATGGTCATGTGTGGTGGGTGGAGAAAGGACATAAAGTGGAAAGTCCCTTCATGTGTGTTCAATAAAGCATGTGTGCGCACATGTATGGTAGCATCCTCTGGTGCCTAGGGTTTTAATTGGGGTGAGGTTTGCACTAGGTTTGAGCCTTAAACAATCAAAGTAAGGTACAGTATTTCAGTTTTGAAAATTGTTGTAATGGACCGAAAATCCATTTTTATATCTAATTATAAAATTTAAAACTTCAAAAATAGTGTGGATTGAATCAATCTACAAAACTTGAAAATCTAGAAAATGGATTGTTCATATAATATATTACAAGATACATTATTTTTTCACATCCATACACTTCGAGGTCAGTCAAGACGAATCAATTGGAGAGTTTCGGCATCAAAATAACTTTTTCTAGTGAGTTTTTGAGGTGCGCCTCACTTCTATAGTGTAAGGTTGACCCTTTTATGAACTTTATTTGATGGGTTGGATGATTAGAAAGTTGGTTTTACTCATGGATGGATGGTTCGGAAGGAATTTTGGCTCAATGAAATCATCATTTGAAATTGACTATCTTATTTATAATTGATATAGATAATATTATTTGTTTGTTGTTTGATATGTATATTGTATTATGTATAATATTATTTAATTCCTGACCAATGTTACTTAATTTTATTGATATGAAGAATTACACAGTACGAATTACAACATTAAAGACAAACAACGAAGGTAAAAATAAACCACTCTTAGCAAGAGTATCTGCCAAAGAATTAACTTTCTTATAAACATGACGATATGAGAGAATTAGCTTTCCTATAAACATGATGAATTGAGAGAGTGATGGTATCTGCCATGTCTAGAATCTGAATCCACACTGATCTGAGCTCCGAGGGCACTTTTTACTCTTTATTGCACCATCTAAAGACATTCACGGACTCACCCTTAGCCACACAACAGGTACTGACCTGTCTACTTTTAAAAACACTCGAACCATGAAAGAACACAAGAATTTTCACATGGTTAGTAGTAGCCTCCACAATGAAGGTACTCCTATTTCGCTCTTTCAAAACCTCCCATAAAATCACTCCTCTTACAACTTTCCATATCAAACTTAAGGCCTTTGGTAAGTGCGGAAATGACAGATGCATGATAAGCCCCAATACACAATGAGGTAGGGCCACTCTCACCCCTGACTGTGAGAAGAACCAAAACCATATCCTTGACGCAAATGAACAGTATAAAAATAAATGGGATCCAAACTCACGTGTTGCTAGGGTACTCTTGAAATTTCTTTAAAAAAAATAGGCAGACACCAACCTCTTGAAGACTGCCTGTCACCATAACACGAGCTGTAAATCACACGGACACCACACACCGCTCAGTAGGATGATGTCACTAGCCGGTGAGTCTCATAAGAGATTCGGACACAGATTTTCCATTTTTTGTACAAACTCAGTATGTTGACTATCATGACATGGTTGGATGGCTTCACTAGGTGCAAACTCGGCATGTTGACCATCATGATACAATATGATGACATCACTAGCCGGCGAGTCTCATAAGAGATTCAGACACGTCACATGTTGCTAGGGTACTCTTGAAGTTTCTTTAAAAATAATGGGCAGATACCGACCTCTTGAAAACTGCCCGTCACCATAACACGAGCTGCAAATCACACACACACCACACACCGCTAAGTAGGATGACGTCACTAACCGGCGAGTCTCATAAGAGATTCGTGACGGATTTGCCATTTTTTGTACAAACTCAGTATGTTGCCATCATGACACAGTATGATGATGTCACTAGGTACAAACTCGATATGTTGACCATCATGACACAATAGGATGACATCACTAGCAGGCAAGTCTCATAGGAAATTCAGACACGTCACCTGTTGCGAGGGTACTCTTGAAATTTCTATAAAAATATTGGGGAAGACACCGACCTCTTAAAGACTGCCCGTTACGGTAACACGAGCTGCAAATCACACGCACAACACACACCACTTAGTAGGATGATGACATTAACCGGCGAGTCGCATAAGAGATTCGAACGCGGATTTTCCACGGTTTGTTGACCATCATGATATGGTAGGATGCGTCACTAGCCGGTGAGTCTCATAAAAGATTAGGACACATCACGTATTGCTAGGGTACTCTTGACATTTCTTTAAAAATAATGGGCAGACATGACCTCATGACGACTAATCATTACCATAACACGAGCTGCAAATCACACGCATACCACACACCGCTCAGTAGGATGATGTCACTAGCTGGTGAGTCTCGTAAGAGATTTGGACACGGATTTGCCATTTTTTTTACAAACTCAGTATGTTGACCATCATGGCATGGTAGGATGATGTCACTAGATACAAACTCGGCAAGTTGACCATCATGCCACAATAGGATAACATCACTAGCCGGCGAGTCTCATAGGAGATTCAAACACATCACGGTACTCTTGAAGCTTCTTTAAAAATAATGGGTAGACACCGACCTCTTGAAGACTGTCTGAACCATAACACAAGCTACAAATCACACACACACCACACACCGCTCAATAGGATGACGTCACTGGCCGGCGAGTCTCATAAGATATTCGAACACAAATTTGCTATTTTTTGTCCAAACTCAGTATGTTTACCGTCATGACACGGTAGGATGATGTCATTAAGTACAAACTAGGTACGTTGACCATCATGACACAATAGGATGACATTATTAGCCGGCGAGTCTCATAATATATTCAAACACGTCACGTGTTGCTAGGGTACTCTTGAAATTTTTTAAAACTAATGGGCAGACACCGACCTCTTGAAGAGTGTCCATCACCATAACATGAGATGCAATTCACACGCACACCACACACGGCTCAGTAAAATGATGTCACTAGTCGGCGAGTCTCATAAGAGATTCAAACATGAATTTGCCTTTTTTTGTACAAACTCAGTTTGTTGGCCGTCACGACACGGTAGGATGACATCACTAGGTACAAACTTAGTACGTTGACCATCATAACAAATTAGGATGACATCACTACTCAGCGTGTCTCATAAGAGATTCAGACACATCATGTGTTCCTAGGGTACTCTTGAAGTTTCTTTAAAAATAATGGGCAGACACGGACTTCTTGAAGACTGCCTGTCACCTTAACATGATCTGCAAATCACACGCACACCACACACTACTCAGTTGGATGACGTCACTAGTTGACGACACTCGTAAGAGATTCAGACACGGATTTGCCAGTTTTTGTTCAAACTCAATATGTTAACCGTTCTAACACGGTAGGATGACATCACTAGGTACACACTCGGTATGTTGACCATCATGACACAATACGATGACATCACTAGCCGGCGAGTTTCATTAGAGATTCAAGCACGTCACGTGTTGCTAGGATACTCTTGAAATTTCTTTAAAAATAATGGGCAGACCCGACCTCTTGAAGACTGCCTTGTCACCATAACATGAGCTGCAAATCACACGCACACCACACACTGCTCAGTACGATGATGTCACTAGCCGGCGAGTCTCATAAGAGATTCGGACATGGATTTGCCATTTTTTGTACAAACTCATAATGTTAACGGTCATGACATGGTAGGATGACGTCATTAGGTACAAACTCGGCATGTTGACCATCATGACACAATAGGATGACATCACTAGCCAGCGAGTCTCACAAGAGATTCAGACATGTCACATGTTGCTAGGGTACGCTCGAAGTTTCTTTAAAAATAATGGGCAGACACCAACCTCTTGAAGACTGCCCGTCACCATAACACGAGCTGCAAATCATACGCACACCACACACTACTCAGTAGGATGACGTCACTAGCCGACGAGACTCATAAGATATTCGGACACGGATTTGCCCTTTTTTGTACAAACTCAGTATGTTGGGTACAAACTCGGTATGTTGACCATCATGACACAATAGGATGACATCACTAGCCAGTGAATTTACAAAGAGATTCAGACAAGTCCCGTATTGCTAGGGTACTCTTCATAGTTTTTAAAAAATAATGGGCAGACACCGACCTCTTGAAGATTGCCCTTCACCATAACACGAGCTGCAAATCACACGCACCCCACACACCGCACAGTAGGATAGCGTCATTAGCCGGCGAGTCTCATAAGAGATTCAGACACGGATTTGCCAGGGTATATTGACCGTCATGACACGGTAGGATGACGTCACTAGCTGGTGAGTCTCATAAGAGATTCGGACACGTCACGTATTGCTTGGGCACTCTTGACATTTCTTTGAAACTATTGGGCAGACCCAACCTCTTGAAGACTGCCTCTCACCATAACACGAGCTGCAAACCACACGCACATCACACACCGCTTAGTAGGATGATGTCACTAGCCCACAAGTCTCATAGGAGATTCGGACACGGATTTGTCATTTTTTGTAAAAACTCAGTATGTTGACTACTATGACATGGCAAGATGACATTACTAGGTACAAACTCGGCATGTTGACCATCATGATACAATAGGATGATATCACTAGCAGGCGAGTCTCATAAGAGATTAAAACACGTCACGTGTTGGTAGCTACTCTTAAAGTTTCTTTAAAAATAACGGGCAGACACCGATCTCTTGAACACTGCCAATCACCATAACACGAGCTGCAAATAACACGCACACCCCACACCACTCAGTAGGATGACATCACTAGCCGGCGAGAGATTTGCCATTTTTTGTATAAACTCAGTATGTTGACCGTCATGACACGGTAGGATGTCGTCACTAGGTACAAACTCAGTATGTTGACCATCATGACACAATAAGAAGACACCGACCTCTTGAAAATTGTCCGTCACCATAACACAAGCTAGAAATCACACGCACACCATACACTGCTCAGTGGGATGACGTCACTAGCTGGCGAGTCTCATAAGAGATTCGGAGATGGATTTGTTATTTTTTGTACAAACTCAGTATGTTTACAGTCATGACATGGTAGGATGACATTACTAGCCGGCGAGTCTCATAAGAGTTTCAAACACGTCACGTGTTGCTAGGGTACTCTTGAAATTTTTTTAAAAATAATGTGCAGACACAGACTTCATGAAGACTGTCCGTCACCATAACACAAGCTACAAATCACATGCACACCACACACCGCTCAATAGGATGACGTTACTAGC